TAATCTGGACAGATCCTAGAAATGGCAGCAATTTTTATAGACCCATTATAACAATGAGATCTTTTCCCAGGTCACTAAGACCCATCCAGCACAGCACTTTCCAGGAAACAGCAGCCAAAACTGGATGCTTACAAAAAACATTAAACTGACAGAGAAGTAATTCCTCTGTACTGTAAATTAACACTGTCACTCAAAGAAGCCATCCCACCCTCTCCCTGTGACACATCAGGGTGTGCCTGTGACAGTGAGCTGGCTCAGGAAGGTGACCTGGCCAAAGGAGGAAGCTTCTCCCCTCCTGCTGTGCTGGCAGGAAGCCGGACCCAGGAGCAGCAGTGTGCAGCCAGGGCTGGGTTAAATTCCTGAGGAAGCACAGCACTGAGACACTGGGTGATCCTCTCCTGGAAGGACTTTACCTCCAGCACAGCTCAGGGGTTTCCTCAGTTAGTGGTGGCACCACAGCCACTCAGCGCCATGGATCAATGCAGTTACAGCTTTATGCTGCATAACACTGCTAACCACAATGGTAATTGGTGATGTTGAAAAGGCAGCCCATAATAAAAATAAATATTAACCATTGTTTTGGTATGCTATTATTTCAGTGACCTTTCAGTTCTGTTTCAAAACTTCCAAGTGCATCACCCATGCTTTTCATTAACCCTGCAGTTTACCAACATGAAAAGCCACAGAAGATTTCAGGACATCCATCCAGGCATTCTCTCACCTTATATAAACTTCAAACAGCAAGCAAATCTGGTACATCTGGTGAAGCTGATGTACCAATGAATGTAACTTTGCTCTTGAACATGCAATTCCTCCATGAGAAAACCACCTATCAGGACTTAACTTCAGAGGCACCTGCCCTATTTTCTGTATCAGCTAATGTTGTACATAATAATCTCCCATGAAAATATATATTGCTCATCAAAGCCAGTGTTTCTGTAGAGATACCCATTCATCCACATGATGATGCAATATAGAAACTTAGTTCTGGCAAGATTTTAGCTTTAAGGACTGCACAAAACTTGCACCAGTATTACCTTCTGCGCACAAGGGAACACTTTCAGTCTCCCCCAGTCAGCACTCTACACAACACATACATTAAGCTCCTTTGGGAAGAAAGAAAGGTTTGGGGTTTTTCCATCTTTAGGGTTTTGCAAATCACTGTGTCTCGTGTATTCCCCATTCTGCTCCTGCACTTCTACTCACTCAGTTGATCCAGGCCAACTCCGCAGCAGGCTCAGCTTGAACAGCAATGCCTGGTTTTTACTTCCATCTGGCTCAGCTCACCAGCTTTTGTCAAATCCAAGCCTGGGGACCTGGGACCTAGATCACACAGCACTTCTTCAGCTAGTTTGGTGCCAGCCTGGGGACAGCAGCACGTGGCTTGCTGATTCTGAGGTACACTTACTCATCTCCTCACTAATTCTTAAAAGCTCTTCTTTAAAATAATCAAGTTTCACAAGCTCTTTTCAAAGACTTTGCCAGGGAAAGGGCAAGACCTTGAACACCCCCTGCAGCAGAACTCCTCATGGCCAGGCAGGACTGAATGACACCAAGAAGTCCTGGGTTGATCCCAGTATCCTCTGTCAGGGCTCCATGTGCTTTCACAGGAGGTGAACTCTTCCTTGCACAGCCCTGCACAAGCTGGGAGAGAAGACCACAGGTGAACAGCCAAGGGAAGGTTCTCCCTGCCCTCACAGAGCAGTCTGGAGATCTCAGCACAGTCTTCAGGGGGATACACCTTGGCTTTTACCTTCTAATGTAGAACTAGTATACACTGATGTGAATAAATGAGATTATGCTGTGTCTTTTATAGAAGCTTATGTCTCTCATGAATTCTTGGGTGTTTTTTTACACTATGAAAGCTGAATTCCTCTATACAGCTGTCAGGTCGATTCAAAAATTTCCTTGCAAAAAGTCATGATTACTAATTTACTTATTATTTATATTGCTCTGTGAAAGCCTACAGACCTAATGGTCTGGCTGGAAACAACAAAAAATACCTACATGAATATACATGTTTGTCATTAGGAACTAGTTACATCCAAGTGCACTGTGCAATTATTAAAATATCTTCTAGGACCTGAGCTGTCCCCTAGGATAGAAGATTTCTTGCCTTCCTGCTTTTTGTTTAGGGGTTTTCCTGTTTCATGGCTCCAAGATGCACACCTTAAATGCACAGGACCAAAACAAGACTGCCATTAGAGGGATGAGTCCTTACAGAGCATCCCTGTAATGAACTCACACTAAAGTTCTGAGCAGAGTACTCAAGAAGACTTAAAGCAGAGAAAAAGGAATTTCATGTATGAATCATTGAGAAACACTTTACCATAAATACAACCTAAATTCTATCATATAATGAGATTTTTTTTTCTTGGAAATACATTTCTCCTTTTGTGTTCCTCTGAGCAGCCCCTCAAGAGCACACAGAAAGGAGACCCAGCAGTACAAAACACAAAATAAAGTGGTAGTGCCAAATGGCCAAGCCAGCACACACAGAGGTCAACCACTGCCGCTCCCACCAACACTGAAACCGGAGATAAAACCTCTGATGTGCAACAGCAGTGCAGAACCCAAAACAGCACCATGTGCAGTGAATGGCAACCATGGCTTTCCAGTTCCTGGCCACCCTCACGCAGGACACAAGGGCTGTGTAAATGAGGAAGCCATTTCCCTGCCCTCCAGCACGCAGTGCAGCCCTCAGACACCACGTGAGGGACTGGGCACGCAGGAGGACACGCGCAGCCATTCCTCTTCTCCTCCTCCTCCTCGACAGGCTCCTGTGAGATAACCGGGTGTGCCTTGCCAGAGCAGCATCATGGCACTGCTGAGTCAAAGGCGCCGGTCCTGGAAAGGAGACACCTCCAAAATCAATATCCAACATCCAGTGCTTCCCAGCTGGCAGGGCAGGGCTGCACCGGAGGGGGAAGACAGGCTCTGCTGCAGAAACCAGCTGCTACAGGGACACACCACGGCTGTGAATCTTCCATTAAACCGTGCAAGACGCTTCATAGATCTTAATGTAATTTTAGTTAAACACAGTGAACAACACTAGGATCTGTATTATCTGCTCATACACCCACAGTGCTGGAGGAGGGGGCTGTTAAAAAGAAGAAAATAGAAATTGCAGGAGTCTTTCACACCAATACATCAGGCAGCTAGAACTGTACACACCTCATCTGCTTTTGTGAACACCCATTTGCACATACAAGGATCTTGCACTAATTTGCAGGTTCTCACCGGGAATAATACAAATCTGGCTTCAAGTATAGTTTAACTGCAGGAGGCACAGCAAGCAGCAGCAGTTAGAAACATTAGTTGTATAATCACAAGACATACTGTGCAGTTTACCTATTTTGACCTTGAGATGGCAAAGTAAGAAAAGGTAGCAAGGCAAGTACTATATGGTCCATCTACTACGAAGATACAACACAGAACTGAAAGTGACATCAGCGATTGAACAATTAATAGATTCTCCTTCTGGCCCTGCATCTGCTGCAAATGCTGCTGTGCCTCATTTACTGCGTTGCTTAAACATGTTAAGGCAGAGCAAAAAAAAGAAAAAGAAAATAACTGAAGGAAAAAGAAAAGTAATATGCAAATGAAAGTAAATTCTTAATGATGAAGCAGGAGGAGATGAAGAAATTGAACAGAATGAGAAACAATCATAGTTGGGGCCAATTTTTTTTTGTTTCTCTTTTAAAGAAGTGTGACCGAAGGACGGAATTTTACATGCAGTTATTTCCCTGAAGACTCTGTCAGCAGCACTTCTGCCCTGTCGATGTCACTGCCTCAGCCAGTGCACTGTATTCTACAGCCCAGGCCTGTGTTTGTGAGCTTGAGACTTCTCCAGTTCCTCTCATCTCTAGGATGACCACGTGGCTATTAGGCAGAGCTATAGTTTACTCATATTACAATTAAACTACAGGAAAGCATGTAAGCATGCAAGGGAAGTGATGGTCTAGCTGCTACATAACTGCAGCCACAGAACAACACACAAAAAACCCCCATGAGCTCAACCTTATTGTGCCATCAACCACGTTTCACGTATTTCGAAGCATGCAAACAGGTTTAAATCATATCCACACACACCCCCCTCGCTTTCTCTGGATGCATGAAACCCAAAAGACCGCAAGCTACACAGAAAAATAACAAAACCCACCGAAGGGGCGTTTATGCTGCTGCCCGAACGGGGAGTGAAAGGCGGCGGCCGCAGTGGGGGTGCCACAGCGGGAAGGGAACGGCAGAGGCCCCGCTGTGTGTGCCCTCGGAGCAGCGCTCCCGGAGCCCCGCCGCAGGGACTGGCTCACACACCGGCTGCACACACCGGGACACGGCACAACACCGCCGCACGCTGCCTCGGAACGGGCCAAACCGAGCTCTGCCCCGCAGGTCTGAGCTCCGTCCTGGCCAAGTCCGGCTTCTCCCGGCGCTGGCTCGGCCAGGCAGGCTGCGGCTCGGGACTGCCCGTTCCCGTTCCTGTTCCCAGCTCAGCTCTCCGGGCACTGCACGCACCGGCACGGAAACGGACAGAAGGGAAAAACGGACCTGTAGGTACTCACATGCAAGATGAAAATTAACTGCACTTTAGGCATACTTTAAAAGAAACATAAAATAACCCTGTATGAGTGACGCATTGTTCCCGAAAATCATTCACCTTAATCACAAAAATACTTTGTACTTACAGCATTTAACACCTCTAGCAAAGAGTTGCTGCAATCAGATTCGTTGTTAGTAACAATTCGGTTAACCAGTTACTGCATTAATCAGTCCAAAGCTAACTATTAGGGATGTTTTAAAAAGAGCATACCAAACAATGGGGGGAAAAAAAGCCAAATAATACTATAACTATTACATTTTAGTTGATAAAAAAACCAAAACCAACTTAATAAATTATTCAGTGCAGAATCAAAACAATTTCAACAAAATGTTCTTCAATAAACACAGTAATTCAAAGGTCAGCCATATATCTTTCAATGAGCTTTTTTTGCAAGACTTACCTATGTTTTTCTAGTTCGTTGTGTGATGACCTATTAAAAAGATGAAAGGAATATTAGAGAAATGAATAATAAACCAAGATTCATAATATTTAAAAGCCAATACCTTCATAAGTTGCAAAAAACTTCTTTAAAATACGTATTTAACATGGATTACGAAACAGCTTTTCTTTTAAATTGGTTCACTTTTAGATTCTTCAGGGTATCAACTTAATTTCCATGAGTAAACTGTAGGTTTGGGGGGAATTATAATGTATTTGCATTTATTAGTGTTCTATACATCCAGAGACAGAAATTAACACTAAAAACTGAGCAGGTTAGTAATGAAAACAGCCCACGAGATTTTTATAGGTAAAGAAAAATTATGAGAATGCAGAAAGTGCTCTAAGATCTAAATGGTAACAGGTAATAGCAAAAAGCACCCAAAAAGCAGCTTTCAAGCCCACGGAAATGCAGAAAGAAAAATCAGCAGCTAATCACTGATGTTGTTGTTGACATTTTAATGGCAACAAAACAGGAATCCTCTTAATTCTTCTCGATCTACAACGAGAAAATAAAACCCAAAAAAAATCATAGTCCCTGTACTGACCACAGCAGCATGTTATCCTTTTCCAATCTACTTGGATTAAAGATTTTTTTTCTTCTCCAACTGATGCCTCCGTTTCTTTGCCATTAGAAGGCAGCCCTAAATTCTTGGAGGATTTTTTTTTTAAACTGATTCAGCTAAAAATATTCATTTTATTTATTTACACAGCTTGGATTAAAAACATTCCTAAAACGAAGTTACTGTCGCCGCTTCAGAACCAGCAATTTTCCGTACTTTCAGTTTTGTCCCGCTGAAAACATGCCCAGCACATCAGGATCAAACGATGCAGAGGCGGTGGCAGCTTTTTGGGCTGGCAGATGATGTCAGAGCAGCTCTGCTGGAGCCTGCTGCAACCCCAGCCTGCAGCTGGGCACCGGGTGCAGAGTGAGGTGCCTTTGTGCAGGCCAAGTGCACGGTCCCCCCAGGGAGCAGAGCCATCCCAGGGGGATTAGGGAGCCTTCCCGCACAAATGCTGCCCATGCTGAGCTGTCCTGCTCTCCCTGCACACACCGAGCTGCTGATTCTGTACCTGGGTGTGACCGATGGCAGAACATCACTCTGGCCATAAAGAGGGAAAAAGAAAGCAAAGCTCACACAAGAAACATCCAGTGAAGAAACCCACGAGCAACTGATCTCAGGCCAGTGCAGCTGCTGATCCTGCAAAGAACCAAGTGAACTGCCCCTCAGCAGGTAAAACTGAAATGCATACAATGTTCAGCACTGATGCTAACCCTCTCTCACCATAAAGCATCTCAGTGTTGATATTAAGACATCAGTTAAGTCAACCATTACCTGGCATCTTTTTCTCAAAAGCCTAAGAATTCTTTATGTATTTTTGTTGCATCAAGTGAGCCATGATCAAGTAATGTGTGTATTTCTATAATGACATTTAAGTGCTCCTGACCAATGCAGCAACACTACAACTGTTAAACACATTTTCTGTGCAACATTAATAGGGCAAGGTGGGCTTGGTCATTTGGCTGTCTTAGGATGATTTTGTTTTTATATTCTACTCCTACTCTCTACACAGAGATCAGACTTTCTTTACAATCATTTCTCCACACCAATGTTCACAAAAATTGACAAAGACCATGCTAAATCCACCAGTCTTTATGAAAACACATGGAAAACACAAGTTCAGTAGGGAACCATTGTCCCCAAACACCCTCAACAGGCCTGTCAAAGGCACTGTTTGTAGGGAACTTTGAAACCAGAGAGGAAATACAGGCCAGCCTGGATTCATCCCTATGACATGAACTCCTTGACATTTCTGGCAATTAGACACAAAGGTGAATGCAATCACTCCAACTGGCCCATTCTGAGCTGCCAGCTCCCAGCAGCTCCAGCGAGCACACACTGGGACAGCACAGGAACCACCGGCCAAGGAATTCAGCCTGCAGTATTTTGCTGGGCTGAGAAAAGATGCCACAAGCAGCTGACAGTCCTGCACACAGCAAACCTACGGGGCACCTGTGGCACAGGAAGGGTGACCCTGGCATTCTCCTGAGGGATGTCCTGCCAGAGCAGCTCTGGAGCACACAGCCGTGGCCAGCTGCCAAACGGAGCAGCAGTGACCATGTGCCTCTTGGCAGAGCTCTTGGGGACACAAAAGCCTCAGCAACGCCTGCAGTGTGCAAACGTGGGCACCAGCCACACATTTCAGGAGGTGTCAGGGGCCAACTAACACCCCAACCTTGAGACCCCAGGCAGAAACCAAAACCAAGAGTCCATTTACCTAAGAATTGCTCCATCTACAGAGCACGTTAAATACCCTATTACAAAAGCATAACAGGGATGTCTTTGATTGGGTTTGTTTTCAGAAGAGATGAACTTCTCTTGAAATACTGTTTTTTTATTTCCTTCACTGTCTACAGCACAGTATATTGCAAGAATATTCATCTCCTGCTGTTTATGCAACCTAAAGTGAGGGGAAAAAACTTAAGAACTGGTCTCCACACAACCCAGTACCCTGTTTCAAAATGGAGTCTTTCATTACTTCAGTAAAGATAAGATGTAGGTCACAACAATAAGATATATGTATATACGTATTTATAAGAGAGACACAGCTATTTGGCTGTGGTTTGCAGGCAAATAGCCTGTGGAACCTTTCAAAAATGGCTTCAAGACAAGGAAGACTTCTGGTGTTTAACTTAGGTTCACTCAACTGAGTTTGTATCTCCACAAAAAGCTTGGGGAAACTGGGGGTAGCAGTGAGGAAAAAAAGGTAAAAAGGTTCAGATAAAAATAAAGGGGAAAAGCCAATAACAAAAAACCCACAAAATCATAGATTCAGAAGGAAGGGATAACAAACGCTGATGCTTAGACTACGCTGTTGATCTGAGACAGCTCTAGTATCCCTTTAGCAAATACCAAGCAGTTCACTGACTATAAATTTTATTTGTGAAAAAATTGTCAAAAGAAGATTTGAAAGAACAAGGAGGAACCAAGGAAATGCAACCATTGGTCTGCAAGATCCTGTGCTACTTCGCACAGCACACCCCAGAGCCATCCCCATCCACCACCTTCCTTTCCCCAAACAAGAATTCCTGGTATTGGATTTCAGCTTTTGGTTGATTCAACATTCAGCAGACACACCTAAGAAATTCGGACAGGTGCTAACTGAGATGGCAAGACTAACACAGGAAAGGCAAGTGCCCCTCCACCTCCCCTGCTGCCAGTTTATGGGTGAGCCAGCAGGATCTGGTCACAGGCACGCTAGATTGAGATACTGACAGGGATGCACTGCCTGTTTCAGTATTCAGACAGCTTCCCTACTCCTCCATCCATCTACCCCACCAGACGGGGCATCTGCTCAGCAGGAAGCCAGCAGCTCCTGATAAAAGCAGGGATGTACGGCAACGCTGCTGACATTTATTGCCCTGTGTTAATGGGAGCAGGTCTAGACCGTGACTCACCAATGCACTTCCAGTTGCCAACGCACTTTAAAGCACTATAGGAACCAAAGCAGGGTAGGTAACCAAGTGCTTGAAACAGTGGCAGCACCTTACCAGTGCCAGGGCTTTCTGGTGGAGGCAGAACTGCCAGGGTGTGATACAGCCCATGTACAACTCCACCTCAGGTCATGCAGCCATGTGAACTACACTGCCAGCACTTCACCTTTTGTCCAGGCCAAAAAAGTAAGAACAAAGAGAACAGGAAGCTTTACAAGGTGCTACACCTTAAGTGTCTGCATCCAGTTCCCACTCCCAGAAGTGCAGGTGTGTAAAAGCACAAAGCTTACACCTGCAGTCTCATGTGAATGCGACTGCTGTGCAGCTTTTCATTGAAAGGATCCAGAATCACTTCCAGGAAATTCCCTGTCCACATACCTAACCTGCCATGGAATGCACCTAAATACTACAGTTCACTCCACAACACACAGATAAACCTGAACATAAGCACGCATTCTGCCTATTATTCACTGCTTCTGGGTTGTTGGTTTTTTGCCATTTGTTTCAAACTGGACACATTGCTTACAGCCTGTCAAAGAAACAGCCTGTACCAAATTAATCCACTAAAATTAATTTTGTATTCTCCTCATAGCAAAATTAAACTGGTTCTGCAGATTCAGCTGGGATCTGGGAACCAGGCACACTGGCACAGCCTTGATGCAGAGTTCTGGCTCCAGGATCACATTCAAGTTGGTGCTGCCACATGTTTGCAGTGGCCAGGTCTGAACGTGCTTCTAATACGGTGGCAATTTGTTTTCCTCAACTGCACAAGCAGTGCAGCTCCCAAACATTGCAGACCTACTGCAGTTCCTTAGGGTGACAGGTCCATGGGTGAAAGCTGTTATATTGGGACTAAAATGCATTATTTTGAAACCAAATGCAGCAGTATCAATTGCTGTCCTAGCTTCAGGAAGGCAAACGAGAAAGATCTATCGAATTCAAAAATCCAGGTGAAAATTCAGAGGAGCTGTGTCTGCACAGTCTGCTTTGCAGTGTTTCATTCTTGGCCTCTCACAAAGCAAAAAAAAAATTAAGGAAAAATAAAACAAAAATCAGGCGCCGATCCCTAAGCTGCTTAGTGTGGGCACAGAAAAACATCTGCAGAGAGCAAGGGGCTCGCTCTGCGGGCCACAGGTTCACCCTCTCCATGAGCCAACATCAACAGAGGAATTTGGACATTAGGCTCTGTTTTTATTTGAAAATCCAAATGCTGCTTTCATCTTTTTCTGCATATAACCCTTTGCCAGAACACAGCACGAAGTACATGTCTATTTATATAACATACGAGCAAAAATATTAATTAATTAATAGACACAGAAGATATATTTATAAACTGGCATTTATTTTGCTCCCCCTCCTTCAATAAACCAGCTCCTAAATTAACAGGCCAAACACACTGCATCACCGACATTCAATTCCTTTCTCTGAAAGTAAATTTAACTGTGACCTCAGTAGACTGGCATCTAACACTAAGATTTTGCTTTTCATTTTTACCTTATTTCTGACTCTTTCACAGCGAAGCAGCTGCCTGAGCTCCCTGGTGGATGGGCAAACACACACCTCAAACCCACACACAGCTCAAGGTACCCAACACCTGGTGAGTGAAACTGCAGCCAGGGCAGAAGAAAGCCCAGTCATCTGCAGAATTGCATGTTCCTCTGTAAGAGTGCTTTGCCTTGTGAGCAAACGTCACCAAATTTCAGATTTGTGTCGCATTCCTCCTCGGCACATCGCATACGTGTCACCTATGTGTTTCTTCGGAGCAAAAACCAAGCTTGGCTTTTTAATATTTGCTATTAACATTTCCAAGGTACAACAGCAATAAATCCAGCTCTTTGTTTTATGCCTTTTTTAATTCTAAGTACACCTTAACAAGAATTATTAGACTGCATGGCACTGCTTTAGGAACTACATACAGCCACTGCTCTGCAGAGACATTTATTATACTGTAGTCAAGTACCTGGTAAGTATTATTGTAACAAGATGTGACCTAGGTTTACCTCCCTGCAAAAGATAATATTGTGGCTTTCTCTAATCTCTGTCCTCTTCACAAAACAAGAATCCAGTTTCATTTGCCAGAGGATTTTGGTCAAAATTACTGGGGGGAAACAAGTCTGAATCTCAGCTGAGGACATGGTATGAACAGCAAACCAGAAAGAAAACAAAGCATTTTGGTTTGTGTGACATGGGAAAGGGCACATCACAGGAAACTGAGAAGAAAACATGTAAGATCAAGACATTTTAATGTGCAAGTGAAACAGAAATGGCTAAAAACTGTACCTGATTGCTACCAATAATATTGTTTATCAACAGACTGCTAACAACCACTTTCAATTTTGATTCAAAGCTAACAGTGGACAAAGCAAAACTCTTACAAATTCCTACAGTGGACAGAAAGCTTATAGATTTTGGTTAATTAAATGTAATTCTGCTGGTATTTTTCCCTGCACAAATCTAAACCTGCCAGAATTACTTCTCACTCAATTGCAGTCAAGAGGCCAGCAAGCTTTTAGCCCAGAGCCGAGCATCCTGTCCAAAGGGCTGGCAGCCTCCTGCCCCTTCTCCTGTGGGTCTGGGCCTCGCCAGCCATCCACTAGGGATGGAGGTCTCATCCTACAGTTTCTTACATGGACATCACCAGCACCTCAGCAGAGGAAGGAGGGGTCTGTCAGTGCCCTTGCTGAAGCCCAGGGCAGCTGGAATCCATCCCTGCTCGTCGCCCAGCCCGCGGCACCTGGCCAGCACACCTGTGCTACACGGGGTACGCTCTTCCCCCCAACAGGCAGGCACACGGGGGGGAAAACACAGAACAAAGAAGAGTACAGCATGCCAGGCTTCCTCACATCTGACAGTTTTTCTCCTCCTCCCCTCTTTTCTGATTTTCCAAGAATAAGGAGATGTTTTTCATGCTTTTCTGTATGTATACCTCATAAGGCATGAAAAAACCAACGTATGTGCATATATACATCTCTCACTTTTTAATTTGATCAGATGCTGCAAGCAGCAGGATACAAAAATAGATAATGAAAACAACAATGCCCCTGCAGATCCGAAATGTGCAGTTAGCTGCTCCTTTCCTACTCCTCCAACCTTAAGTATGTATTTTTAATCCAGAAAAACAATGAAATAATAAGGCATGAATTTCAGACATGTATGCAATCCCCTGTATGCAATCAGATGCCTCCCTGCATCTAATGCTCCAAACCCAATGAGTCTGGAAAATGGTTAAAGTGGAACAATATGGACAAACACTTTGCTCGGTGGTTCACATCACCCACGACCACTCCAGATCCTCTGAACTTTGGCCAGTCGTCTCCCTCTGTTAATCTTTGAGTTGCTTAGGAAGAATTAACCATGTTTCCAAAAATCCACTCAAGTCTGGGGCTCAGCCCCTATAGCCTCTAAGCTCCAAATAATAATAAAACAGTGATGCTGGTGTACATCATGTATTTTGCCCTGCATATTTAAATTCAGGGATCGTTTCTCCCCTGCAAATTTAAGTGTGCAGGCAAACGTGAGCAACGATTGCTGGACATGGGTACAAAGCCCATAAGGACAATGCAGAGGTACCCACAGAGCCCTGCTGCTGCCCCTCTGTCCCTGAAGGTACAGGGAGATGCATTAATGCAACGTCCCTCTGCTTCCCACACCGGTCAGCAAGCCTGGTACCCATGCTGAACCAAAACAGCCACTGTCCCAGCAGTGTCTGCACTGGAAACAAACACTGTCCTGTCCTGTAACACCATGACCCGTCCCTCAACTCATCACTGCAGCTAGGAGAAAAGAAAGTGTGAGTAAATGTACACCTTGCAGGATGGCGTTTTTGAAGGCTGCACTTCTACAGAGTGAAAATAGAACAACGCACTAAACAGGTAAACAAATACAAATCTGCAGGCAGAAAGAAAAGCAGGAAGGTAACTGCAAGTGGATGTGTGTGCCTCAACTTCAATAACACTAGCAAATCTGTAACCAGAAATCTTTTAATTCTGCTGTGTTTGATAGATTACAAATCCTCTCCTAAAAACTCCTGAAAGCAGCTTACAATTCAGACAAATAACTATTTTGCAGCAGATGACAAGAGCCCTAAGAACGGAAACGATGGAATAATAGCTCTGTAAGTAACACTGATTTCTTGAATGCAAGAGACAGACAAGAAATCTGTACTACTCGAGGAGCAATTTACACCTGGAACACTTATGAAATGTGTTTTGAATTTTTTTAAAGGCAGTGAGCATACTTTATATGAAAATAATTAAAAATCTTAAGGAGCAAAGTGTCTCAGGACGCAAGACACTCCTCCCACTCCTGATGACTTTCTCTTTTAAAATGAACTGACTGTCTTCTCATGCTCCATGATGAGACAAAGAATTCAACTAAAACCAAAACCGAAGTAGTACTGTAATTAACAGCCCCCAAAATGGTTGCCTTGCTCGGAGCAGGGGCATGGGGACACAATTTGCTCCCTCTCAGTAATCTTCGAGACACACTGCTCGGCCGCAGCAGGCACCACCAGGGCGCTCAGCAGCTCGTGTTTTTGCTCAAGGAGGGAGTTAGTTCGTCAGCTTTTGATTTCGGTTTGCACCTTGGTGCCCCACGAGCAGCTCCTGGCCGTCTGCCGGGCACCTCCCCAGCACCAGCCGACCCGGCCGCAGGATGCCCGCTGGAGCAGCGAGAGCGGGCCCGCCGAGACTCACTGCTCCTTTGGAAAACAAGTCACGTGCAAAGCAAGTTCATTTTAGGCTATTCTACAGGAGCCACCATCCAGCATGACCATGCAGAGCGGAGCCTGCGCTGGGAGAGCATCGCTGCCCCGGGACGAAGCAGGCCCAGCAGGGCACGGTCCTCGGTCCTCTCCGGAGCAGCCCTGAAGAGCAGAGCGGAGCCCAGGGCTGGGCTCGCCCCGGGGCAGGGGCCGGCAGCGTCCCCGTAAGACAGCCAGCCTCCCGCACGTACACAGCCGCTGCCCGAGCAGCAAACAAAGCTGCAGAGCCTGCGCACAGCCGCGCTCGGCTCCTGCCATCGCAGCGCAGGTAGCGGCTGCGGGGCAGCGACAGAACCGAGCGGCGGAGGGGCGAGAGCCGGGATAAACAAGGACCGAGCCGCGCAGCCCGGCGGATCTGCGTGCGGCCGCGGGCCGGAAGGGCTGCGAGCGGGGTTGCGGCACGGCCCGCAGGGAGGTCGGGCTGGCTCCGGCACCTTCTCACCCCGCGCCTCCCGGAGAGGCCGCGGGGCGGGCGGAGTGTCCCCCCCGCCGTCCCGCACACGCTCCCGCCCCGGAGCCCAGCGCCGCCGCAACCGGAGGCTGCATCTGCTCCGGCTGCCATGGGGGAGGCGGCCGGCTCGCTGCCTGTGGTTTATAAATGAATGCCGGGGGGGAAATTAGGTGCCATGCAAAGAGAAATCTGGGTGGCGATTACGGTGTTTAGGTCTGCAGCAAAAGCCGCTGTCGGCGAGCGCGGAGCAGAAGGAGCGATGAGGGCGGATGGGACTGAAGTGCAGTGAGTACTAAGGAGATGGTGTACGCGTGGCAGTGTTTATATGAGAGATCAAAACAGAGCCAAGCCCATCCAGGGGAAAAATGGCGACTACCGGGATGGGGAAAACTGAGACACTGGATTAGTTATTATTTTTCATAAATGTATGCACTGCACATAAGCTAGACACATTGGAAAAGCTGACGATTCATTCTGAAAAAGCGGTGCGTCTATTACCTGTTATTCTGGGATTTTCTGGCCATGGTGCCTGCCTTTGTTTTCTTTCTGGAATAGTCACTATCGAAGGGTAACACTGATGCATAGCCATGTTCTGCTTCTAGGGACAAAGTCAGCATTAGTGGCAATACATTTTTTCCATGCAATTTTTTCCTCCTTTGCAGGAACGCTAGGGTAAAGAACAGAATTTTTTCCGGTTGATTTGTTTGGATTTTATTCTGGCATCTCTTAAAGAAGCGAGACAAAAAAAAAACAAAAACCAAAAACCATAACTCGGCAAACCAAAGGGGAAAAAAAAACAACACCGAAGTGTCGAAATTAGGAGGATTATTGGAGTGCACATTAAAAACGAGGCGGATCATGCAAACCCTTGTCACGCTGCGCTGGGGGAGGGGAGCTGCCATACAATCACCGACTGCCACACACGGAGCGGCGAGAGGGATCCTGAGCGCTGCCACACGCACCGTCCCCATCCAGGGCGGCACAAACAACCCCCTTCTGCCTTGCTTGGGGGGTTATAGTTTAAAAAAAAAAGCCAAGATCCGAGCAGCGGTGCTCCCCCAGCGCGGTGCCGCTGGCGCAGCCCGGGTCCCCCTCGGGCAGGTGCGGGCTCGGGGCCGCTGCCCCGGCCCGGCCGCCGCACAACAAAGGCCGAGAGCGGCTGGGAGCGCCTGCGGGTGCCTGACCGACTGCCCGCCTGCGCCCTGTACCTCGGTCTCTTCGCTCCAAGTACTCGGCCGCTTCCAGGAGGATTAACAGGGAGTTCAATTCCATGGCTGCCCGTCCCGAGCCCCCCGCGCCGAGTTCACGCGCGGGGACTCCCGAGCCCCCGGTTTTAAGGCACCTCGCTCAACCTACATTTGACACACAGCGGACGGGCAGCCCGCGCAGCCAATGGCGAGCGGCCCACGGCCGCGGGGCGGGACGTGAGGCGGCGGCTTGGCCAATCGGCGGCCAGGGTCCCCCCCCGCGGTCGGGGCAGGGGATGTTGACAGATCCCCGCCGCCCGCGCTCATTGGCTGCCCGTGTAGTAACAATTTAGAAGCCGAAGCTTAGCAACAGCACGTGGTGGCCCGGCCCCCTCGCCCGTTCATTGGCTGCTTCCTTGCATGTTAAGAAGGCCGAAGTCGCCTATTGGTGCGCGGGGCGTCATGCAAATGAGGACGGAGAAGGGGGCCAATGGGGCGGGAGGCGCGTGCCGCGCGGCGGGAGGCGGGGAGAGAGGAGCGGGCAGCCAATGGGCGGGAGGGGGCGTGGCGTTGCCGTGAGGAAGAGGTAGGCGGGGGTCGGGGCCACAGAAGGCTCCGCCCCCGCACACGCGCCGGGCGGACACGGGGCAAGCGTGAGGGAAAACGGCAAAAAGGGGAAAAAGGGAAAGTGAGGCGGCGGAACTGCCCGTCAGGGACAGCAGGGCGGGAAATGAACGGGAGCGAAAAAGACACAGAAAGATACAAAAAAGATACAAACGGGACGCCGGAGAGGCTGTGAAAATGTGCCTGGCACGCGCATCCTTGACCCCTTGCGGTGCTCGGGCGAGAGAGGAAGACGGCAGCGCTGTGAAAACACGCACAGGGACGGAAGAGAATGACTGAACGCTGCACAATGGCCTAACCTGCTGAAAAAGAGAAACAGTGGGAAGCTCTCAGAAATGCAGCCAGAGTTCCTGCCAGCCCTCCAGCCCTTGCCAGCATATTCAGCTGCCTTTCGTCATCTGGATACACAGAAGCCGTGTACCAGAATAGCCTGGCTCCCGGCGCACAGGCTGAGCAGGAAGAGCTCAGCACCTTTCCTGTCCACACCATCCTATTTGCTCTGCTAACTCTGCATCCTTATCGCAGATAGCTGCTGCACAGCTGTTGCCTAAAACTGGTTGGTTTTAACACGAGCAAGTGTAGTTTTAAAATAGGCATATTTTAAGCTGTGCTGTGATCACACATTGGTACATCTTCAGGCCAAAAGTGCTGAAGCCTGTAATCGGTCCTCCTGCAGTATTGCACTTGGGCACACAATTGGTCCCACTGCTTTTAATTGAACTGTTTAGGTAAAGAGCTATCCAGCATATAGGCTGCATGCAGTGTTGTCGTGTGCGTTTATTTCTTGGCAAAAAATGTCAGCCAGAGTTTCCTTTTAAGAGGATAATAGCAATTCAGATTAAAACAAGGATTATGGTTTACTGTTTCTACAGCATTATGGCAAAGCCACATATACATTACACCTGATCTTGTATTAGTCTGTATCTTGTTGGCCCAGATGCACAAGTGTAATGTGGCTCTCGAACATTGCTGAAACACAGATCACATTTTACTGCCATTTGGTCCAGGCACCAGAGATAAGAGAAAATACAAGGCAGTGAAGAAAGCAGCATTGTGATTGTAGTTTAGGAGAATTTTGTATTTGTTTAGGAAAAGTCTGAGTGACTATGAATTACAAGGCAGAAGGGAATTTGGTGCATAGATTACAAAGGTAAAAAAAATTGCTGTAACATTTTCCACTTGCTGCTTGAACTGTTGAAATCCTGCTGCAAGTGGGTGAGACAGTACAGTGTTTACTGTAAAGCCATTGAACCTTGTGGTAGTTTTGCTGTTAACTGGAAGTAGGTTTAGACACTACTTGACATTACCTTCTGTTACGAAACAGTGTGAAACCATATATGTACAGGTCTGCTTTGTCCACACAGGAAAGAAAGTTCCCTTTGCCTGACACATGCGGAGGGCACTTAATGTGGAAGATGCAAAGCTGCACAGATAAGGCATCAGCGTTCTCTACTGATCTTCAGAACACCTATATTTGTGTGTTAGTGTGTAAATTATCTTAAACTGCCTTGTACCCATGCTGTGGAATCAGTCATACAGCCAGAAAGGCAGATGAATGTGCTAGGTATGTAGGTGCTTGTGGGAAGGCCCAGGATTTCAGATTTACTGAGGCTCTGAATGCCGAAAGCTCTGTCCTACCACACTGTAAGACCACAATTTCACCTGGAAAAAAACTCTGGAAACACAGGGGTGTAACAAACACTGCACAAGACTGTGCTTCAGGAGGGTACATAGCCCGAGCTGAGCACCCTGCTGAGCACTGCCCTCACCAGACACTCCTTGGAGCTTGGAGTGATCCAACTGCTGAACTGAAGCCAGCCTCAGCCTCCCCTGCACTCCCCAGTACCCAAACTCAGCACCCCTAACCACTCCCGAGTCAAAAACCATTGCTCTCTCTGCTTTCAAATGTGGACAGAAGTATTTGGAAAACAGTTGTTTTAAGGAGATGGAGCACAACTTCACATTGATGTTGGCACTTTCCAGGGCCTTGTACCTCCACACTTCCCTGCATGGAAGGGCTGCTTTGGTAAGTGAGGAATCACTGAAGCCAGCTGGACTAGGTGCAGGAGAGTGTTGTGCGAAATAGGGGCCAGTGCCATCACAAAAGGCACCTGATCTGTGATCATGGTGGCTCTCAGCCTCAGGAGTCATAAACTGTATTAGCCTGCTGGAGCTGTAAGTGTGAATGTAACCCCACACACTCAGGGAGCCCTTGCTGATGAAATCCAGGGTAAATTCACACATTTGGGAAGGACAGGGCTGGCTCATACCTGACAACCACTGTCACACATTTACCTGTAGTTGCATTGAAGAAGAACACTGCAACAACATGTTAGTCCTGAGGAGTTTTATCATTTCTCCTAGGGGTGAACTCAGCGGAGTCCTTCTCATGAGGCGCCACAAAAGCTTTTAAAATGCCTAGAAGGAATCGTTCTGGATCTGGTTTTATTTGTGCAGAGAACCAGGACTAGTTTTGGTGGTGTCAGCATGGGTGCGTAGGTGTAAAATGGGTGTGAAAGAAGATCACCCAAATTACTTTAAGAACTGAAGGACAGGCTCTAAGATAGATGTGTGCTCGAAGGCTTTGCAGATTTGTGTCTCTAAATAGCTTTCTTCCATTTCTAAGAGCAAGCAGCAGGAACAGCTGAGTGCTGAAGAAACAGCTGGCCTTCAGTGATAAGGGGTAGATGTCACTTCATGGTAAAGTTTGAAAAAGTTTGAATTTAGAAGCAGAAGCGAGATCCATCAGCAGCCACACCCAAAAACCTGAGCTGTTTTGCAGTTTCTTTGCCACCTGCACTTGGTGATTGGAATGGTAATATTTACAATTTTAAATGTTATAGTGTCTTTCTTTTCCAAAATCTGTCCTATGGCATGACTTGGCATGTAAGATCAGTGACATCAGAATTGTTGACTGCCCCAAGCTGTGGTGAGGACAGAGATCTGAAGCTGATGATCAATAATTCAAGAAACTTCAATCACTATTTCCCACATATGGCCTTAAAGAAATAATTAGACCTATCGTGCTTTTCAGATTTGGCTCATTGTATCTACTGCATGTTTCTTTCTTTTATCTTTTAAAATTCCATACTATATCATATCCCTCTGTCCAGAGTTAAGCCCTTCACTGTGCCTTGGACTCCATCCCTCTGTTTTCTTGGGTGTTGCAAGGTTTAAGTAATTAGCAAAGACTAGCTCGTCTGCCCACATAGGAGGGGATCTGTGCTCAGGGCTGGCACTGACAAGTTTCATCTCCCTGACTCAGTATCTCAAATTCCATTTATTCCTCATCTTACCTGTGATTCAGATAATGAGCTCTGTTTCCTAGATACAGAAACCAAAACACCTGAAAATTGAAGGTGGAACTTTTGGAGGAAGTTTCAAAAGTAACAATTTTGTCAGTGCCCAAGCCCAGTTTGAGACATTCTGATTCTATTTACTCTGCCAAGTAAAGCAGTTCTCCAGCCCTGATCTCAAATGGAAGGTGTCACCGCATCTGCTTGGCCCTGTATCTAGACTGCTACTGTGCACATGTGGCTTTTACTAATCACTTTATTTTATGTGTGATTTACTTTAAGTTTGGGGTGGTTTCTCTAAGTTCAAAGTGCCTGAAGATGGGGGCAGCCCATCAGAGAGCTACTTTCACACCTTGGAGCTGAGGTTACATGACATGAAGATATCTGGGGTGTCGGGGTTAATGAGTTGCTGCTGCAGTGTTGAGGAACTGTGTCCTGTGAAGGAGTCATGTCCATGCAACCTCACCCCATGAGCTTTCTGGGTTGGTCCTCAACCTGTCATACCCCTTCAGCTGCACCCAGATGTTGGCTTGGAGAGGATCTTTGGTCCAAGGATCACAACAACAAATAGTATGGATACTGTGGATTCTAGGGGACCTGAGTGGCTTCCATGGATTTGTTGGGCTCTCTGTGTGAAGCTCACTAGTCCAGCTTGCTGCTTGGCCTTGACCAATTGTTTGCTGCAGCGTTTGAATCACCAGCTTTCCCAAAACAATGGAATTTTTCCTGATTTTGCTTGGGATTTAGCACAGGCTTACGTACTGCTGTGGTACACACATGCTTGAAAGCCAAATCTAAAAAGAAAAAGTACTTCAAACTGAATGCCAGTCCCTTGTAAGGTTCTTTTCATGTTAATTGCTGTTATTTTGAAAGACAACATTTGTATCTTAGTGTCCTTGAGAGTTTGGCTGCAGAGAGCTCACATGCCCCTCTCCACCGGCGCTCCCCGACCAGTGAGACGTGCAGTGCCCTGACGCCAGGCCCTGCAGCCATTCCTGTGAGCAGGCATGAAATTATTCTTAACTGATTGAAGTGAAGCACGGATTGAAAAGCTTGAGAGACACTGCTTTACTCCATCATCCTGCTCTGGCTAAACCGTGCCTGGCAATTTTAAATACCATTATCCCAAAAATTCCCTCTGACCCTGCCACACTGAAAGTACTTTACAGGGGGCACTGGTATTGCTGCTTTCATTT